GCATATTAGGTGATGTGCATCTCTGTAATGAGAAGGGGTGTGGTCTAATGACATCAACACCCTATATCAGGTGTGCATAATTATTAGGCAACTTCCTTTCCTTTGGCAAAATGGGTCAAAGAAGGACTTGACAGGCTCAGAAAAGTCAAAAATAGTGAGATATCTTGCAGAGGGATGCAGCACTCTTAAAATTGCAAAGCTTCTGAAGTGTGATCATCAAACAATCAAGCGTTTCATTCAAAATAGTCAACAGGGTCGCAAGAAGCGTGTGGAAAAACCAAGGCGCAAAATAACTGCCCATGAACTGAGAAAAGTCAAGCGTGCAGCTGCCACGATGCCACTTGCCACCAGTTTGGCCATATTTCAGAGCTGCAACATCACTGGAGTGCCCAAAAGCACAAGGTGTGCAATACTCAGAGACATGGCCAAGGTAAGAAAGGCTGAAAGACGACCACCACTGAACAAGACACACAAGCTGAAACGTCAAGACTGGGCCAAGAAATATCTCAAGACTGATTTTTCTAAGGTTTTATGGACTGATGAAATGAGAGTGAGTCTTGATGGGCCAGATGGATGGGCCCGTGGCTGGATTGGTAAAGGGCAGAGAGCTCCAGTCCGACTCAGACGCCAGCAAGGTGGAGGTGGAGTACTGGTTTGGGCTGGTATCATCAAAGATGAGCTTGTGGGGCCTTTTCGGGTTGAGGATGGAGTCAAGCTCAACTCCCAGTCCTACTGCCAGTTCCTGGAAGACACCTTCTTCAAGCAGTGGTACAGGAAGAAGTCTGCATCCTTCAAGAAAAACATGATTTTCATGCAGGACAATGCTCCATCACACGCGTCCAAGTACTCCACAGCGTGGCTGGCAAGAAAGGGTATAAAAGAAGAAAATCTAATGACATGGCCTCCTTGTTCACCTGATCTGAACCCCATTGAGAACCTGTGGTCCATCATTAAATGTGAGATTTACAAGGAGGGAAAACAGTACACCTCCCTGAACAGTGTCTGGGAGGCTGTGGTTGCTGCTGCACGCAATGTTGATGGTGAACAGATCAAAACACTGACAGAATCCATGGATGGCAGGCTTTTGAGTGTCCTTGCAAAGAAAGGTGGCTATATTGGTCACTGATTTGTTTTTGTTTTGTTTTTGAATGTCAGAAATGTATATTTGTGAATGTTGAGATGTTATATTGGTTTCACTGGTAATAATAAATAATTGAAATGGGTATATATTTGTTTTTTGTTAAGTTGCCTAATAATTATGCACAGTAATAGTCACCTGCACACACAGATATCCCCCTAACATAGCTAAAACTAAAAACAAACTAAAAACTACTTCCAAAAATATTCAGCTTTGATATTAATGAGTTTTTTGGGTTCATTGAGAACATGGTTGTTGTTCAATAATAAAATTAATCCTCAAAAATACAACTTGCCTAATAATTCTGCACTCCCTGTACTGTCTAGGAACACCTCTAGTGGCAGTCACTTGAGGTGTTCCTGGGTCAGTGCTGCACAGCGTATCAATGAATCTCTATGAGGAGATGCTGATAAATGCGATGTGTGAGAAAAGGTGAGTAAAATCTCCATGTTAGCGCGATCAGAGTGGGGCCGGTAACCTAAACAGACAATTCAGGATAGTAATGCAGCAGAACACTACTACACGTATCCTATAAGTGGGGATTATACCATGGTACGCCCATCATCCTAGAGCTTAGCTCTATAAAACGTGAGTAGGACCATATTAGACTTGCACTTTAAAAGTACCACTAAATAGTGGAACATATTGCACTCTTGGTTTTCTTCTTTGTTTTACTTTGTATATCTATACTGTTCCCAAGAAACTTTGGATCCAGTATCCATATAGAGAAGGACGAAAAGACTCCTCTATGGGATTTGGCTGCTACCTTTGTTTACACACTGACTTTGGACTTTTATATTTTCTACTTTTTCTTTATTTGTTTTAGTGTTTTACTATTTTAAACACATTTGTTCAAGACTGGCGCATCCTTTTCCTGTTGTGCTGCATTATTCTATTTCTGTTGGGTCTTTGAGGGAGCCCCATCTTTTAGGTTCCCAGACTCCTTTTCTTATCTATTTGGTTGTACAGTGCTGGTCCTTCTGTTTGCTTTTTATCAATTCAGGACAGTAGTGTCAGTAAAACATGCTTGTATGTGACTAGGACTCTCAGAATACACATTTCTATTACTAACCATAACCCCTTAAGGACACATGACATGTGTGACATGTCATGATTCCCTTTTATTCCAGAAGTTTGGTCCTTAAACTTGTTTTCCTGGCACTATAGTGTTAATAGATCCCCCCACCATCATGGCCCCCTCCAGCCTACAGTGGTCCTTTAAAGGAACACTATAGTGTAAGGAATACAAACTAAATAAACTGGTTTATTCACTTAACTGAGATTTGCTGAGAATTCAATGGGAATTTCAAATTAAGGTCAAAATTGGCAAACAGTATAGTTGACCTACAGATTTTTTTTTTCCAGTTCACCCTTTTTGGTCTTATATTTGAAATTCACTTTGAATTCCCCAAAGTCGCAATTCACTAAAAAACAAACACAATGTTTTTTAATTTGTTTTAATCCTAACACCAAGGCAGCCATCAGGCATATTTTACAGTAGAATGTGAATAGTTTAAACTTGTTTTTAAAACCAGAGCCAAATCTGAATTGAAATATACATTTGAGTTTGAAGCTTTCTAAGATTATAATTCAGAGTCTCTATATACAACATGCCCAATCTTGGTGACTGCAGCCTCCTATTAAATAATAGGAAAGGATTGTAAGAAAAATACTGTATCTGTAATTTTGCCCAACTCCAAGTGAGTCTTTCTTATCACTAAATAGCGTGCTCTATTTCTATGACACTCAAACTCTCTATGCCAGACTTTCTATGCCAGGCTCTCTATGACACTCAGACTCTCTATGCCAGACTTTCTATGACACTCTGACTCTCTATGCCAAACGCTCTATGCCAGGCTCTCTATGCCACTCAGACTCTCTATGCCAGGCTCTCTATGACACTCAGACTCTCTATGCCAGATTCTCTATGGCAGGCTCTCTATGACACTGAGACTCTCTATGGCAGGCTCTCTATGACACCGAGACTCTCTATGGCAGGCTGTCTATGCCAGGCTCTCTATGGCAAGCTCTCTATGCCAGGCTGTCTATGGAAGACTCTCTATGCCAGACTCTCTATGACACTGAGACTCTCTATGCCAGGCTCTCTATGCCAGGCAGTCTATGGCAGACTCTCTATGCCAGGTTGTCTATGGCAGACTCTCTATGCCAGGCTGTCTATGGCAGACTCTCTGTGCCAGGCTGTCTATGCCAGGCTGTTTATGGCAGACTCTCTATGCCAGGCTGTCTATGGCAGGCTCTCTATGACACTGAGACTCTCTATGGCAGACTCTCTATGGCAGGCTGTGTATGCCAGGCTGTCTATGGCAGACTCTCTATGCCAGGCTGTCTATGGCAGACTCTCTATGCCAGGCTGTCTATACCAGGCTCTCTATGGCAGACTCTCTATGCCAGGCTCTCTAAGTCAGGCTGTCTATGCCAGGCTGTGTATGGCAGACTCTCTATGCCAGGCTCTCTATGGCAGACTCTCTATGGCAGACTCTCTATGGCAGGCTCTCTATGCCAGGCTCTCTATGCTAGGCTCTCTATGGCAGGCTGTGTATGCCAGGCTCTCTATGGCAGGCTGTGTATGCCAGGCTGTCAATGGCAGACTCTCTATGCCAGGATCTCTATGGCAGACTCTCTATGCCAGGCTCTCTATGGCAGGCTGTGTATGCCAGGCTCTCTATGGCAGGCTGTGTATGCCAGGCTGTCAATGGCAGGCTGTGTATGCCAGGCTGTCTATGCAAGGCTGTGTATGCCAGGCTGTGTATGGCAGACTCTCTATGCCAGGCTCTCTATGGCAGGCTGTCTATGCCAGGCTCTCTATGGCAGACTCTCTATGCCAGAATGTCTGTGGCAGACTCTCTATGCCAGGCTGTGTATGCCAGGCTGTGTATGGCAGACTCTCTATGCCAGGCTCTCTATGGCAGACTCTCTATGCCAGGCTGTCTATGGCAGACTCTCTATGCCAGGATGTCTATGGCAGGCTCTCAATGCCAGGATGTCTATGGCAGGCTCTCAATGCCAGGCTCTCTATGACAGGCTGTGTATGCCAGGCTCTCTATGGCAGACTCTCTATGCCAGGCTGTCTATACCAGGCTGTCTATGGCAGACTCTCTATGCCAGGCTGTCTATACCAGACTCTCTATGCCAGGCTGTCTATACCAGGCTCTCTATGGCAGACTCTCTATGCCAGGCTCTCTAAGTCAGGCTGTCTATGCCAGGCTGTCTATGCCAGACTCTCTATGCCAGGCTGTCTATGGCAGACTCTCTATGCCAGGCTCTCTATGGCAGGCTGTGTATGCCAGGCTGTCTATACCAGGCTGTCTATGGCAGACTCTCTATGCCAGGCTGTCTATGGCAGACTCTCTATGCCAGGCTGTCTATACCAGGCTCTCTATGGCAGACTCTCTATGCCAGGCTGTCTATGGCAGACTCTCTATGCCAGGCTGTCTATGGCAGACTCTCTATGCCAGGCTGTCTATACCAGGCTCTCTATGGCAGACTCTCTATGCCAGGCTGTCTATGCCAGACTCTCTATGCCAGGCTGTCTATGCCAGACTCTCTATGCCAGGCTGTCTATGGCAGACTCTCTATGCCAGGCTCTCTATGGCAGGCTGTCTATCCCAGACTCTCTATGGCAGACTCTCTATGGCAGACTCTCTATGCCAGGCTCTCTATGGCAGGCTGTCTATCCCAGACTCTCTATGGCAGACTCTCTATGCAGACTCTCTATGCCAGGCTGTCTATGCTCTCTATGGCAGGCTGTCTATGCCAGGCTGTCTATGCAAGGCTCTCTGGGCTCCAGTAAAATGTCGGTGTTCTATCTATGGGGAAGCGGCCTGTGACGTCACTTCCGCCGCCCATCGCTGGGCTTCAGTCACCGCTGCAGCTGGGACAGGATAGAGCAGTCTCCCTGTGAACACCGGGCGGGCTTGGCTGAGCGCAGACAGACGGTCACACTACAGACTGCCGCCGCCAGAGTCACGGTACAGTGAGCTGGGAGCCAGGTGTCAGTAATGGGATCCTACTAACTGCATGCGGGTCACGTGGCCGGTGTGTGTGTTTACATGGGGGATGTGTTGTCTGAATGGTCTCCCTAACACCAGGCATGGCTAAAGCTATTCGCATGCAAACTGTTGTTGTGAACTACGTTAACCGTGATGCCCAGCCGTTGGGGTTGTTGGCTGAGCATCATGGGATGTGTAGTCCAGAAAAGTGTTTTGTTGGTTTTTTTTAAAGCTCTATCTATGGGTCAATAAATTGTGCTGCTTGTTAGTGGAGGAAAGGAGAGTGTGCAGGAAGCTGGCTGTGATTGATTTCTAAATAAAATATTTGTTCTGTTTTAGAGAAGGAATATATTCAGAATCATGTGGGTTTCTGATGGCTTTTTGTAGCACTGCTTTAGTGCAATTTAATATAAATAATATAAAGTCATGCACAATATAAATTACAGAAAGACTAGAGCAGGGATGTCTTAAATTAGTATTTTCCATGAACTTCCTACTCTTACACCCTTTTGGCCACCCTGTTCTAAAGTATACTTTTTATGATATATGTGTAGCTGCCACCTTTTTAGCCTAGCTCAAAGGTGGCCAAAAGTAGACATCCATACATTTTAGTTAAACATATTTAAAAAAATAAAAATAAAGTTGGGAAAACCTGCATGTACTATTCAGTCTTGTTATGCTTAATGCATCCTGTTAACTCTCAAACTGAAAACTTTATAATGATGAGAGGTTTACAACACAAAGTTGGGGAGGGAAAAGCAAAACCTTGAGTTAGAAAATCTATTTCTTTTGGATATTTTTAGCATAAAGTTTGGCTGTTTTGCAAATCTTCACAATTCCCTGTTTGTCATGCATAAAATATTTCTTGGAAGCAATTAAAAGTTGGTGAGTGCAGTGTGAAGGAACCTTCTGATACTATAAGCTGCAATACTCACCTGTCTGCCCAAATGTATAAGAAATCTAAAATAAATGGCATCTATATTGAATAGGCATCCTGACTCACTACAAATGGTAAAGCCAACATTATATTCCTAAAGGTCCTTTCTAGAACAGCTGCTACACATTTCTTTGAAAAGAGTCAGTGTATTCTGCTGCAGTGTAGAGTAGGGAACAATATATACAACGCGTGCAAAGTGTGAGTGTGTGTATATATAGTGCACAGCTAGATACCCAAAAAGAACAGGTGGTTAAGGGGGGGCTTACTGCGGGTGTGTCAGAAACATACTTGAATAAGAGACCTGAGTGATCTTGAAAGCCATGATGGAGATATTCATTAAGCTCTGAAACTGCTAAATTTGGATGTAATCGTTGAATTGGCTTTTTAAACCTGCAAACTGCATCACTTTACATTCATCTTGACTGTAGTGAAGCCAACTCACTATAAGCTGTGTACTGTGGGAAAGTTCGGTTTTGTAAATAGTGCCAAGACGTCTGTGATGTGTGCCAGGAAAATGCTTAATTCAGTCCATCATAATCGTTACACCATCCCTTCTAAATCATGTACCTAGGGATACCCAGTTGTGCCAACATCCGAGCCCCCAAAGTATAGATTTAAAAAGACACCTACCTCAGGACAACATCTATTTATCTGCATGAGGGAAAGTTGGGTTTTGTATACATTCCCATACTGGCGTTTCTTATTTTGCTTCTGTTATAAACATGGGCTATTAGAAAGATTTAAAAGCAGATTGCGTTTTTGCAAGCAAATGGTAAGGGATACATTAACTTTGTAGCACACTTTTTTTTTTTTAATATATCTCTTTCCAGATTACTTTAATTCATTTTCTATTGCATATGTTAAACAAACTGTAACAAGCTGCAGAATGTGTTGGTAGTCTATAAATTACAGTAATCTGAGAATAGTACAGACATTTTCTGGAATTAATTTGAAAAATGTAACCTCAAAGCACCCTGAGCCCACTCTCATGTTCTTTTGTAAAAGTTGCTGCTACTAAAGACGGCCTACTACAGATGTCCATGAAGGCGCCTTAGTTTCCTGGTTGTCTCTTTTTATATACTGTGCATTAGACATGTGCACGATGCAGAGACGATACGGAAAACTGTGTCACTTTCCCAGAGAGAGAAAGAGAGCCGAGATGCAGACTGCGCAGCATGGCTTGCAGCTCAGCACATTCTGAAACAGAGCCTGGTTCACTAAACAGTAAATTGTGTTGTGTATAAGTCTAATAGCAGGTCTGGTAAGGATGATTTCTTGATGGAACTTCTTGTCCTGGTATGGGAGAGGTCTGTCTGCAGTGCTATGCAGATCTAGTAAATATTGCTCTGAGAGACAGTTAAAAAAAAAAAAAGTACTTTTTTTTTTTTTCCTTCCTCCTCTATATTTTTTTTAATGCATTGCTTATATATATTACATTAACCATATAGGGTCACATTCTACATGGATAATCCCTTTAAACTGCCTGTATTGCAGTGAAGTCCCTTAAACCGCAATTGACAAAATTGCAAATTTACATTTTGCAGCAAACGTTATCTTTCTCTCGGCTGTATATTAGCCTGAAATCCCTAGACATTTCTCATTTTGCCACTGACAATCACAAGAGGCATTACAAACATGCATGTGTTCCAGTATTTTTGTTATGCTAATTAATTGGAATTTGGAGATGAAGGGGGTAAGTAGATGGTTGCAAAAAAAGCTAGGTAGCATTCAATGCATTGGGTTATATCCTATTAGCAAAATGTGAACCGACTTTGAGAGAGAAGATTTCTTTTAAAATGAAAGACCTTTTAAAGGGACACCAAAACAATTTTAGCTTAAAGGACCACTATAGTGCCAGGAAAACAAACTTGTTTTCCTGGCACTACAGTGCCCTGAGGGTACCCTCACCCTCAGGGTCCCACTCCCGTCGGGAGAAAGGGGGTTAAACACTCGCCTTTCTCCAGAGCCTGGCTCCCTCGGTGCTGGGGACTCTCCTCCTTTCCTATGGACGCTGGCGTCTTCTCACTGTGAAAATCACAGTGAGAAGCGCGGAAGCGCCTCTAGCGGCTGTCAATGAGACAGCCACTAGAGGCTGGATTAACCCATATGAAAATCACAGTGAGAAGCGCGGAAGAGCCTCTAGCGGCTGTAAATGAGACAGCCACTAGAGGCTGGATTAACCCACAGCAGGCAGGGTTAGTCCTAGATGGACATGGCACCCAGACCACTTCATTGAGCTGAAGTGGTCTGGGTGCCTATAGTGGTCCTTTAATGAAGCAGTTTTGGTGTATAGATCATACCTCTGAAGTTTCACAGCTCAGTTATCTGTCATTTAGAAGTGAATTTTTGTTTGTTTGTTTATGCAGCCCTAGACACAGCTCCCCTGGCTGTGACTGACAAAGCCTGCTGTGAAAAAAAAATGGTTTCACTTTCAATCAGATGTAACTTATTTTAAAAGTCTTCATCTCCTGCTCTGTAAATTGAACTTTAATTATATACAGGTGGCTCACGCAGGGTCCAGCAAACTATTAACAGAGCAGGAGATAAGAAATTCTAAATTAAACAGAATTTGCCCTAAATGAAGTATAAAAATTAGATGACTTTTTACAGGAAGTGTTTATGAAAGCTGTGTATGTCACATGCAGAGAGGGTTGATAGGGCTACATAAACAAAGTGATTTAACTCCCAAATGGCAAAGAATTGAGCAGTGAGACTGTAGGAGCATGATCTATACACCAAAATTGCTTCAATAAGCTAAACTTGTTTTGGTGACTAGTGCCCCTTTAACGTAACTTAATTTTTACATAACTATTTAGATTGTGATTGAGTTTTCCTGTAAGAAAATGATTCACTGATTCATAGTACAGTGTAAAAAAAATAATATATATATATATAAATTTTTAATCTTTTCTGTCTATAGCTTCATGACTTATAGTATGTTCATGTGTTTTGATGTGGTTGCAAGAACAGTTGTCCATTTATTTTATTGAACCTCAAAAATTTGTGAATGTTTTTCAGATGCTGTGTTCTTGAGACAACAGAATGATTTACTAGATTGCTTCTTTTGGCACCGCAGACCAGGTGAAAGTGCAGAGAAGATGGCAAGCCCTTTTGTACCTGTTCCTTTACCAATGGGGAATTCGTCTTCAAGCAGCATAGTAAATAGGAAGCAACGGAGGTGTTCCCTTGGTAGCAACTCTACTAGTTCAAACTCGTCCAAGGAGCCACCTGAAGATCCCAAGCCTACAAGTTACAAGAAGCTAAGTGTGCCTGATCAAGCAAGTTGCTCATCTTCTGTGTGCAGCAGCCCTCTAATAAGGACTAAATTTGACTCTTCAGTAGAATATAATGCACGGCCAGCAACGGATGGTCCTACTTCTGATCTACTGGAGCTGGATGATAGACCCTCTACACCAACCATTCTAGGATATGAAGTGATGGAAGAGAGGGCAAAGTTTACGGTGCGTTTTCAAAATTTGCTATTTTTATTTAAGCTTTAGTGTCATTTTCTTTCTTTTTTTTCTTTTTTTTTTCTTCATTATCGTTCCAGAGCCAGCTAGCCAGCCTTATTTCTGAAATGTGTAATAAGATTTTAAATGAATGCTTTAAACGTCTGTCTTCATATAGTGAATTAAGGTGTCGGATAAATCTTCACTCTCCCCACAAAAAAGTATTAATATAAAAAGTTTTGTTGAATTTTTAAATTGCAGCTATACAGTAATTTGTAACTTGATTCTTACAAAAGGTACACTCAAAGCAGCATACTCATTACAGGTTATTGTACTGGTTATTGTATTTGAAAGCTGTGGGTGTAGTTCCTCAGGGCTTCACCACTAGGGAGCCTGGGTCAAGTCAGTGTCTCAGAATGCCTTAACAGTAATTTGGCTGAACCTCATGCAGTAGCTGTGAATGTTGGGAATTTTAGTACACAATAGTTCTATATATCAAGTCACCATCTTAATGTGCACTCACGTCTTTCTTAAAACAGAAATTGTGCTAGTTTTAATGTTTGTGCTAACAAGGAAGCATTACCTTGGAGCATTAATGGGTGCCTGTGATTGTCTGAGAGTGTCAGCTGACTGCTATTATCCTTTCACGGTACACATTGCTGGTATGAATTGGTATGGCTAGAAGGAAGTGTGTAATATTTGCCTGAGCCATACATCCCATACATTCAGTAGGTCATCCAGTCAATGTGAAACTGTTTGGAAATGGTTTAACACTGAATGGAGCGACAGTGCCAGTGGACTCCTGGCACTATAACTGTCCAATGAGATTAAATGGTTATAGTGTCAACAGTGTTACCTTTTAGGTGTATTTAATCATTATTGTTTTAATTAATCGTAATCTACAAAGAACAAAAACACTAAAGTTATTACTTTGTTTTATTAAATTGACTCTTAAGACCCCTAAAGCACTCTCCGAACCACTAAAATACTTGCTGAAGCTCCTTGTATGTGAAGAATTTATAGACAAAAGTGGCGATTTCAACAGAAAATAGCACTTTTATATATTCCCCTTGTTACACCTCTGGCTGTCAGACAACTGGTCCTGTCAACTTCCTGGTAATTAGCTCAGTGATTCTAAACTCAAGAGGCAGGCAGTTGTCCAGAGTGCCTATTTTGCAAAAACTTCTCATTGAGCTGCATTGTGAAGTCTGTGATTGGACAGCCACAGAAAGTGGAAGTTGGGTTAAAAGGGGGGCGCTTTCAAAGGCTTTAGACAAGATCTCTGCAGCTTTTGCAAGCTGATTTCCCATATACATCAAATAAAAAAATAGGACCAATTGTATGCAAATCTCTACTAAACAGTGATTTTTGTTTATATATTTGAACAGTGGAGTGTCCCTTTTAAGGGGGCTCAGAATCTACTCTCAGAATGTTTGATGAGCAATAATAAAAGTAAATTCATGTAGCAGTATTTATCGGCAACAAATTTCTAAAAAGAGAGAATAGAACATCTATTTTTATTTTTTTATTTATTTTTATAAAGGAATGGGATTTCTTCCGAATATCTGACATTTTACCTTCCTGTTTAAAGCTGAAAGACTCTTTGTGCATAGGTATTTAGTAGTGTACTATGTTGGTTTTTTTGGGGGGGGAGGGAGGTTGTTGTTTTTTACCCTTTGATTTGTGAAATTATTGCAATGACTGCACCCTTGTCCTAGAAAAAGAACTTTTTAAATGGGCCCATTTAAAGCACTGACACCCACATTAGAAAATATTTTTTTTGTGTAAGTGTAATTTCCATAGTAGTGATATGCTATATGAGGGTCTGATCTGCAAGCACCTGGTGGAATCTTAGTTTGTGTCTAACCGCTTGAACCAGAGGACAGCCCAAGGGGCATGCTCGGACTACAGCTTGTAGGAGATCATATGGTCGTTAGTTGGCTCCTTTGGTATTGTGAAGTTAACAGAAGCATCTTTGTGTGAGCTGTTCTGCTCATCCCTGTGACCCTTTAAGTGTCATTTATATATATTATTATTTTAAAAAGACATTTTGTAAAAGCAAAATAAGTTTTCTTTACCAGGCAGGATGTATACTCTCAGCCTCTTATAATCAAGTATGCCCTTGGTATGTGTGAAATGACAATAGTTACCCTTAAAACTATATTTGTTTACAGTTACAAGGTTACATACTTAAAACAAACACAATGTTGGCAATTGTTGCACATTTTTATTTGGTTGATACATAGAGACTGATCTTTTCAAATAATTGAGTTTACTGGATCTTATTACATTTCTGGAAGATTTGTTTTGTAAAACACTTAACATATTGTGTGAATATATAGGCTGAAACAAAATGTCAGCAAGAGGGGGGGAAAAAAACAATAAATCCCACAATGGTGTGTCTGTCTTCCTATCTATATTATACATACATATTAAAATCCTTCTGTCACACACCTACACATAGACATCATAGAATGCAGTTTTGCAGCTACTCCCAGTACTCTCATCCTACACTTATAAACGCTTAATAATCACTTGTTTGTCTCATTCGTTCATTTTACCTCATATTTTTCATACCTCCCCCTCCTGAATGAAATGTATGGATGTGAATTGGTGGCATGTTTTATGACATATGCATAATCAGTGATTTCTACTTGCGATTTTGTTGTGCAATCTGATACTTTTATAGTGACATTTAAACTGGTACTGTTTGTGAGCAAATTATACACTTGTGGGCGAAAGAGTGGTACCAGCCCCAACCCCCCACCCACCCTATAAAAGTTTAAACCTCACCTTATTTCCAGTGCTGCGCGGGTCCACCTGGGCTGGCTCTGCCACCCTTAATGAAATCATCAAAATGGCAGATTTTTTGCCAACCCAATGCTTTTCCATAGGGAAAACATTGGATTGGCTAAAATTGGCACTGGGGCGGGGCCAAATGCTGTTTTTGCCAATCAGGACCTCCTCATAGATATACATTGAATCAATGCATCTCTATGAGGAAAATTCAGCGTCTCCATGTGCAGCCCTGAGCCAGGAAGCCCCTTCAGTGGCCACTTGGAGGTGTCCCTAGGGGCAATGTAAACACTGCCTGAAAAGGCAGTGTTTACATGAAAATGCCTAAAGGGAGCTATTATACTCACCAGAACAACTACATTAAGCTGTAGTCGTTCTGGTGACTAAAGTGTCCCTTTAAGGTGTAATAGAAAGGAAGAAGTATAAATACTTGTATTTGTATCCAGTTCTTCCTATAACTTTCTTAAATTGGTTATGGTTGCAAGTTCACACTTGATCTAGATAATTACGTGGTGTCCAATGCTGATATGAATCTCTTCTAGGAATGATATGGTCAACTTCATATTTTTGGTGATATTTTATCATTATGACATCCAGATATTTGGTTGTCTAGCCACATACCTGGAACTCTGTAGAGATTAAATTGTAGTTTTAGTTTAATTAACCTGGGTTTTATAAATTAACCGGGGATTGCTTAGTTTTAAAGAGGTACTGCAAGTACAAGCATAGCTTTAATGTATTTTATAGCTTCCATAAGGATTCTTGCACGGAATTGCTGGGAATTCAACGTTAATTTCAAATATAACACAAAAAAAAAACAAAATGGAAAAGTTAAGGACACAACTTCTGGAATAAAATGGAATCATGACGGAATATTTCAGTCATTTGTCCTTAAGGGGTTAACAACCCTGTTAATGTTGTGGTTCTCCAAAACTTTTTCGGAATTTGAAACCAGAAGGAAGGAGCTTCACCTTCCAAAATTCGATGGTCTAGCCTTTATACCCATGAAGTCAGACTAAGGTCAAAATAGTTGAAATGGAAACATTCTCTTAGTCTGCTGTGCTTTCAGTTCATTTAGTCTGGCCTTAAATTTTATATTCACGTTGAATCTTTGATTTCTCTATTCAATTGATAAACCAGTTTTTATATATACGTGTATGTGTGTATGTATGTATTATTGTGTTCCCTTCAACCAAGATAATGTATTTTATGACTACGAACATGTAAATAATGCAATAAATGGACACAGAGAATCCTGACCAATTGAAACCTTTTCTTTCAAACTTGCAGAGTTCTTCTGTTTTCTTTGATGTTTTGCCACAGCACATTGCTAACTATTGGGGAGAAACCTGTTGATTGATTAACCATGAATCTGTGATATATCTCATTTACCTCTGACAGGTTTACAAGGTCTTTGTTAAAAAAAGCCCAGAGGAGAGTTGGGTTGTGTTCAGAAGGTATACAGATTTTTCAAGGCTTAATGATAAGGTAAGGAAAAATACCTGCCAAATAACTTATTTAAATGGGTGTTTTTTGTTGTTTTTTTTTCAATGTGACTCAGCATTTTTTTTTTAAATTGTAGTTTGATTGTTTGGCATTGCCATCGTTGCAGTGGTATGTGTTATCTCTATCCATACATTGCTCCATGTATAGGGCAATTCACTAAAGTAAAATAACTGAATTAGAAAAAGTCAATCGTGTTTTTTTCCTAGTATATAGTGGCAGTACCTATAGGATGTACTTTCTTATGCTGGACAATTAATCCTGCAATAAAATGCTAAACAATTAACTCATTTCCCTCATACCTTAAAATGCAGATTCCCAAAGCACTACCTCAGCTCTGTATTGTTCCTCAATCGAGACGGACGACTAACCCTTTCCTTCCTTATGTAGGTGAAGCACACGGATTGGTGCTTGGGGGAGTCTGATAGCTCCCCGGGTGGCGAGCTGCATCACACAGACCTCCTAATCCTTCAGGGTTATGGGATGCTGAAACAGGTTCTGGTTTTATGGCCTATGTTCTGGTGGAATTCAAGGTAGAAGGTCCCAGGTGGTGCACCAGTCGGGAAGCAGACCTGGAGTCCACGCACAGTGGTGGAAGGCACTTCTGGGTGGCTTTGTCTTCCAATCACGGTATTGAGCAAGAGCGGCAGAAATTTTAGCTTTTGGCGCAAGATTTTAATTTGCGCTGTGCCTATTTATGATGTGCTGGCCTCTCTAGCAGCAAAGGTACTTGTCAGAACAAGTCCACAGGGTCTCAAGAACCCAAATGGACAAATTGGCAGAGATTTCCTGGAAGAGAATTTACAAAATGGCAGGATTTCAGTGTAAAGCATATATGGCTGGGGCATCAGTTGCCAACGCTCAGAATATTTAGTTACAATCATTGGAAGATTGTATTTTGGAAGGATTAGAGAAAGAATTAGTCCATCTGCTTAAAAACATCTGGCTGGTGAATAAAGTGTTGGATATATCTGAGGAAGTATTCAAACTGTCCACTTGGGGGATTGTCCTCAGTCGCCAGAAGGGCGATGCGGCATCCAAATCTGTCCTGTGCGAATTGCCGTTTGAAAGAAGCAAACTGTTTAGTGCTCCTTTTTAGAAACTCGTAATACAAATGTCTGAGACCAAAAAGGCCCTTTCTCAGTAAAGATATAAATGGAATAGAAGATTCCCATCCTGAAGTCCAAGATTTTTCAATATAACGACTGATCTCGCAACTTTCGTAAGCAGAACCGGGATTCGAGGTTCAGTGATAAACAAAGAAACAGACAGACAGAATAAGAGGAGAAAGTTGTGACGCCAGAAAAGTGGAAGGAAGATTGCAATAGTTCAGTCATGTGTGGGAGCTTACGACATAAAATCTGTGGGTATTAAGTACAGAGACTGATACAAAATCCAAGTTCTTTGAAAAACCTGCTCCAAATTTCCTTTGTTCCTTTGTTCTCCCCATCCATCTCAAGTAAAACAAGATGCTCTATCAGAATCGTTAATTCTTCTACAAAAAGGAGTGTTGGAGAAGGTCCCAAAGCAACAAAAGTTCCAAGGGATGTACTTGACTTTTTCTGGTTCCGTAACAAGACCTATCATTTCCACTCATCGTGGATCTAAAAATGGTGAACAGAGTCATCCAGTATCAAAGGTTTCAAATGGAGACCATTTTTTCTGTCACCGGTATGTTACAAAAAGGAGACTATATGACAACTTTGGATTTAAAAGACACTATCTACATGTACCCATGGTGGGTTCGGGACAAGGTGTTATTTAAGATCCGCAATCATCAAGTGAAGGGAGAGGAATTTACCTTTCCAATTCAAGTCCCTTCCTTTTGGCCTGGCTTCAGTGCTAACGATTTCTAAAAGCCTTTCACTTAATCTTCCTTCTCAGAAGATAAAGAGAATCAAGAAGGAAGTTTCTTCTATACCAAAGGAGGCAACATGTCCCATCAGGTCAGCCATGAGTACAATGGGTATTCTCACTTCCTCCAATCATGCAGCGCAGTGGGGAAAAGCATGGATGATGCCATTACAATGGGAAATCTTGACGAATTGGTCAGAACAGGAAGAAGACTTAGAAACCGAATTCAGCCTGTCAACAAAAGTTTGGAAGCTACCTGTGGTGGATTAACTCAAAGTTGCTGTCCCTAGGCTTATCCTTCTGGCAAAGGGAGTGGCTCACAATCACAACAGATGCCTCAAAGTTTAGTTGGGGAAAACACATCTACAGCAGGGCATTTGGTACACAAAGGAGGCATATCAGTCCTCCAATTACAAAGAGAGGAAGGTTATCTTACTGCTTTCAAGCCATGGATTATGCAATATTTTGCCTTCTAGACATCAAATGAGCTCTAGAAATGTATCTCAAATGCTCATCTAGCTTCCGATCACGTGAATGTGAATTTTTTTCAGGGAACATATTTAGGCAAAGAACCGAAACCTACTATTGCCAGATGATTGACTGATACGATTAAGTTTGTATGCAAGGTCATTAGTCTAATGTTACCTCTGCCAGTGAAAGCGCACTCCATCAGAGCTATTGCAACATATTTGCAAAGCAGCAATGTGGTTTCTTTTAATACCTTTATCAGACATTACAGGTTAGACTTCTTTTCTTCCTCAGAAGCTGCTCCAGACTGTCGTAATTTGATTCACCGACATTTTTCAGGATCTTACTATATCCCATAGGTACTGCCACTATATGCTAGGAAACACAAAAATTTTACTTGCTATAAATTCTTTTTTCCTTAGTTTAGTGACAGTACAGAATGCCCTCCCAATTTTTTTGTATTAAAGTTAGATATTTTTGCAGCATTTGGCTTCTTTGTGATTTCTTGTTAAAACTGAGGCAGCTCTCTTGGTATGAAGTTATTTAACTGTTTTAAGTTTATTTTTAAGGTTACTTTTCGAGCATAAAGTACATCCCATAGGTACTGTCACTATACTAAGGGAAAAAAGAATTTAGGTGATTTTAAACCTTAAAAATAATTTTAAAAGAATTTACTGTAAGTAAAAATTTCTGTTTTCATTTTGGCTATTGGAGCCTTAAATTGTGAAATTCACTTTAAATCCCTGGCAACTCTCACTTTTTTTTTTAATAACCCTGTGTAGTGTTTTTGATGAATGAGGGAATTTGGAATACTTTGGAGTACACTGTCCTCTGTTTTGCATGCTCTAGAAACCACTAGAAATACACTAGAAAATATGGCCAGAGTAAACCAGAGGCATCTACACACCATTAGTTGGAGATAAATGTGTAGGAATGTGCCCATTGGTTTGATAATTTTTTTTTAATCTAAGTTGAATAGGTGACTTCTTGCCATTTTAGGTTATAGTCCCACAGACAGGTATATAGTAGCTTATGTTAAAGGAACACTCCAGGGTCAGGAACACAAACGTATTCCTCACCCGATAGTTTTGAAAACACCATCTACCCCCCCCCCCCCTTGCTCTCCCTAAATATAGTATAATCTTACCTCTTAAGTCTGCTGCTGCTGGCCCTGATCTGCCTGCTTGACTGACATCAGATGTGTTGCTCAATACCAATCACAATGCTTTCCCATAGGAAAGCATTGGATTGGCCGAGATACAATAAGCTATAGTTGTTCTGGTGACTATAGTGTCCCTTTTAATTATTTTATAATAGGTCGAATTTGCAGTCCTTGCACTGGAATAACTTGCTCAAGTTTAATAATTTCAGCAGATTGTAGCAGTTATGAGCCAAAATCAGAAAGAACACAGGGACATGGTGAATACATATGTTACAAAGCGTTAACTGTTAAATATTGTGCCTGCTTAGAACCATGAAATTGAGCTGGTGTTTTCAGTTGTGATAACCGTTTAAAGTAATACGAGAACATAATACTTGATCTGTGAAATTCCTTTTATTACACTCCTTTCCATGGTGATTTTTTTTTTCTCTTGGTTTTATTTTTAATGCAACTAATGCTATCAGTTATGCTATTTCACTCCCAGGTGAAATTGCATAGGTAACACTCCCACGGCTGTAATTTTATAACCCAGGCTTTTAAAATTTGTTTTGTTTTTGTTTTTTTCTAAATCGTCAAGGTAATTAATTTTTCATTATTTCGCTACAACAACACTGACAGCCAGAGTGATTGGCTGAAAACATACTTTTCTGTTCTAAGTCAGTCAAATCAGATCATCATGTTTTGGCCACTTTAGCGGTAGCACACAACCTCATAGAATTCATATTTATCGTATCACATCTAGTCAGCTGGTTAAGAAACTTCACTGTGCACTGTAGCATGTTAAAGCGTCCATTATGCAAATTAGTCATAGCAGTCCTTTGTAGATATTTACTTGGCAGGGATAGATTGTACTAGCAATTGTATAAACATTGTTTTTTTTTCTCCTTTGCATTTTTTTAAATTTATTTAACTTAAACCTTTTTGGCATTGGGAAAAGTAAGAACTGATGGGTATGTGTTGTAGGAAAAGTCAAAATTCAATGCAAATCATAAAAGAATCACTTTGCATAGTTATAAAAAAAAAAAAAGTAAAAGCACATCTGTAGCATAGCATATTTTGAAATAAAACACCTAGATTACTAGTATGTACTCCAGAAACAAAAGGCTGTTCTGAAGTGGTCTGAACCAGAATTACATTAATTTATTTTCACCCAATCTCTTTTTAGTTGTAGCCATGTGATTTCTGTGAGATTCTATCACACGACAAACTGACTCCCTAAGGCTTAAAATAGATTTTCTACCTGAAATAAAATGTTGTTATTCACAATTTAGTTCAGTTTAGAGTTGCAAAACCAAACATCTGTCGTGTACGTAAAGGATTAATGAATGTAGTCACCATATTGCTCTTGCATAGTACTAGTTAGGTTAGTAAATCTACTTCTACGTGTATAGAGTGAAATATTTTATCCTATCATGCAATGTTGGCCAAAAATAACTTTGAACTGAAGTAGTATTTCTTTCTTTCTCTTGTCCTTCTGTTAGCTTAAAGAGATGTTTCCAGGTTTCAGACTTGCTCTGCCTCCCAAGCGGTGGTTTAAGGATAATTATAACTACGACTTCCTGGAAGATAGACAGTTGGGTCTGCAAGCGTTCCTACAGAACCTAGTGGCTCACAAGGACATTGCACACTGGTAAAATGAACTATTGTTGCAGTAATTTGTTCTCATGTGGTCAGTGTTCTTAGTTACTTGTTTACCAGCAAATGTCCAAGTGAGATCATCATTATTTTGGGTACAAATTATATTGTAAGATTATTTTAAGTGATCTGTGGTATTGCATGATACATTGCCTTTTCAGAGTTCATGTCAGCATTTTATTTTATTTTTTGCAGTCTTAAATGGACACTGTAGTCCTCAGAAGTAACTGGCATAGCAAGCAGGGATAGGAGGGAGCTTTAAAAATCGCTTATTTACAAATACTTATTTACTAATAAGTGTTACTTTAGTATTGGTAAAGTTGGCTGAAAGACCAGTGTTGTTGGAATTACGGGCTTATCTACTAAGCCAGGGCTCGACAAATCCCAAACGCCATGGCAACCAGGAATCTAGTCCTGGAGCCAAGGCGGTTAGATGGCCAGCTGCGCATTCTTTAAACTGACGATGAGGTTGCTGTGATCTCTCCCCGCTTTGCGTCACTCCAACCCTAGCATCACTAAGTGGTGCGCAAGGGAGTGGAGCACAGCTCCATCACTGCCAGCCTACAGAACGTGCAGTAGCTTGCCCGCCCCCACTGTACCCAAGCCAGCTGCCCAATTGATCACAGGGAAAATGGATCCATTCCAGCTTTCCCAAAGCTAGGCAGGCTGGGTGGAATAGAATTGCATTAAAATATATAATAATGTGAGTTTGTGTGTGTCTGTCAGTGTGTGTATGTGTTTGTTTAAGTGACCATGCCCCCCCTCAAATCATGTGGGAATAGTGTTTATACTCCTCTTTCTTTTCTATGCCGTATCTGTCTCCCCACGGGTGGACCCGCTTCTATGGCTGAGATAATCGCGCTTGCTGATCTCTGCCAATCCAATGCTTTCTTATAGAGAAGCACTAAGAAGTTATTGCGTATGCGCTGTAAAACACTGACCCAATCAGCATCTAATCACAGAGATGCATTAAATCAATGCATCTTTATGGGGAAGGTTCTGCACCGCCATGCAGTGCGTGGAGGCACTAAATGTAGGTGCTGCATTCTGTGCAACACTGAGATAGGAAGCACTTTGGTGGCTGTCTAAATGACTGCCTCTAGAGGTATCTCTAGGCAGCAATGTAAACACTGCCTTTTCTCTGAAAAGTCAGTGTTTACATTGAAAAGCATGCAGGGAAAGGCTATAGACACTAGAACCACTACATTAAGCTGTAGTGGTCCTGGTGACTATAGTGACTCTTTAAGAATTGTATTTTTGTTGTTGAAAATAAAGTTTTGTAAGTGGCTCATAGATTCAAAGCAAATTTGTCAAGCCCTGTACTAAACGACTGCGTCTTTGACCGTGTTGGAATTTCATTAATTCAAATGAAATTTTGAACTGAAGGAATTGTACAAATTTCATCCTAATCCAGATAAATAAACTGTACTCATTCTGGTTTTTTTTTTTTTGGTTTTTTTTTTATTGGTTTTTTTTAAATCCTGTGAATTCGCCGGCACCCTGTCTAAATGACAGGACTTTCCAATGGCGAATGAAGCAATGTGAGAACACAGGAGAAGAGGTAAGTATTGTGGGGAAATTTTTTTGATATGGAGCGGACTTGAGCTCCTTCTTTGGTGAAAGAACGTCAAGCGTAGGAAAAATACATAAGACAAAGTAGTCCTTATTTTGTCTTATGTTTTAAAGAGAACTAGATCAGAAAGGACAAAAAGAACAGATTCTGAGAGAGGAAGAGAAGAGGAATCAACAGGAGAAAGGTAAGTACGGCGTGATAGTGCCGCTTTAATGACACAGAAAAAGGTATTGTGTTTTGTGTGATTGCTGTTTGTCTTTACAACTAGCCTGTAGGTTTTTCTTTGTTTCTTCCCACAATACTAGTTTTGTTGTTTCCTTGTCGATTTACAAGTACTTTTTCCTAGCCTAAATCACATGATTTATCTATTCTAGCACAACAGATGGTAGTGTTTGGTAGAATGCACTCATCCACCCCATAAAGGTTGAAAGAGGTCATTTGAAATTTTGTGCCCAGACAACAATGTAGCACAAGAAATATAAAGGCCTTATAGTGGGAAGCTCATGAATAATTTCTCATCCGCAAACAAACCTCTCCTTTCTAGACTGTTGTGGCTACGTGGGACTTAATCTCCTAGGGGGTTCATATGGGAAGCTGAAAGCAAATTCTGTCTACTAATATGTCCTAGGATATTTTATTATTTATATTTTATTAGAGTACTCTTATCCAAAGGAATTTCTCAATCTATACTTTGTCTAACAGGAGCCTGTAACACTGCCTGTTAATGTGCTGGTCTAGCTGTTCATTTTATTTTTCCCAAAGAGGATTTATTATAATTTGAGGATGAAAAGTACAAAGTGGGATTGGCACCAGCATGTTTTATGAACAAACAGATTTTCTAAAGTTAAAAGGCTAACATTCAACAAAACGTTTATTTTTTTTTTCATTATATAAGTTTCTTTGTCAGATTTTAATGATGAAACATAATCATTCCCTCATACCCCCGTTAATGTCCTCACAGAAAAAACAAAAGAGAAATGCACATGAATACCAGCAGAGCCAGCAGCAAACGGAGTACAATGCAAATAAATAAAAATATTGTATTTACTGTTGCAATTACTAAAAAAAAATTTTTTTAAAAAATCAAGTTTAAATTAATGTTTCCTTTTAAAGGAACTCCTGTTTTAAGTTGCTTTCTTTCTTATATTATCACTAATTGCAAATTAGCAAACCTACATCGAGATTCTGCATTTACCCTTTGTAATGTACCCAGATGGGCAAACCTTCAGCTGAAACAATTACATTTACACTACTGTGGCTGCCTTTTGGCATTTAGTGAATAGTATTTTCAACATAAAGCTTGCTGAAAACGCAGGCATCAACTACAGCCCATCTATAACCTCATCTCTACTGTGTAACGTTATCCTGGCTTTCCACGCTCAAATGTTATGAAGGATTTGAACATAATCCGTTTTAAAGAAAGTAACAAGATTGTTTTTTGTTTTGGGGTTTTTTTTTTTTGTTTTTTGTTTTTTTATTACTGGCAAATAAACTGGTTTTGTTTTTATTTGCAGTGCTCCGGTGAGACTATTTCTTTGTTTGGATGAGCCCCCTGGACCTTTTGATAGTTTGGAAGAGAGCAGAGTAAGTCATTTTTATTTTATTTATGTTAAGAAAGCAAGTACTTTCTATTCGATACAATAACGTGCACTAATAAATCACATCTTTGCAAGTGACAGCTCTGTTTGCAATGCAGGCATTTTGTGAAACTCTGGAAGAAACAAATTACAGGCTGCAAAGAGATCTCTTAGACAAACAGAATGAGTTGGATGAGCTAAAGAAACTACTAAATGAGAAGAACTTACACATCCAAGCATTAGAATCTCGGATACAGTGAGTGATTCATTTTCAAAGGGGGAATATAAAATCCAATATATTTTTTTTGTTGCAGTAATGAAAGGAGGATTGCTGTAAACTTCCTGGAATAGTTATCCAGAGATAAACGTGTCCTTTTTGATCTGTGTAAGATCTGCTTTTTAAAAAAGCATAATGATATATTGACATTAAAAGAAGTGCTGGTTTTGATTCAAACAGGAAGTGACACGAGTACTATTTATCCATTGTGGACAGTTCCTGTTCTCCCACTGAGGTTTAACAATTAATGAAATGCATTGGTTTGTTTAATCAATGTTTTCTTTGTTTCAATATTGATAGCTTTGAGAACCTACTTTTGCATTCCTGTGAGAGACTGGATCACTTCTTTTCATTAGTACAGCTGTACCTTGATTTTAATTGCACGTTGAAGCATATAAATGCGTTTATTTTTAACCTTGATGCTTAACTATAATAAGCTAGATTAACACACCTGCCCCCACACCCCCATTTACAATAGAATCATTTAATTGTACCTGCCATCCTATGCTTTCCAACCATCCTGATTTCAGCAGGATAGTCCTGTTCTGCCTACCTGACTTCTCAGAGTAATCAAACCAGTGAAGTCATTAGAATAATTACTTTTGTCCAATCCAGTACTTCTCATACAGATAAATTAGAGGCCTAAGGTGCTTGCCAAGCAATTGCCGCCTAGTAGTTTCAATGCTTAGAATGTCTCTTTAATGTGTTAAGACTAAACTATGTGTAATCGGAGCAGAGAAATCCCACAGACACTAAGTCAATAGTCAGTGGCTAATGATGTTATATGCCGTAAATTCTCGAGCAGCATTTATGGTATGCATATGAAAACCAGTATTTAGAATGTGGTAATTCCCTATAATTGCAAATGAGCTCTATAGAATATTATTACAAAAAATAAGATAAGCTTGTTTTTTCCACTTCAAATGTACACCATGTTTCTGTAGCCTAACTGTACAAGATGCATGTCTACACCACATCTATCCATGTAACGTTAAGCAATGAGGCTTTACAATTTTGATCAAATATACCTGTGCACATTTTTTTTTTTTTTTTTGGTGTTTGGAACGTGTCTTTACAGTCTGTGTAATTCTCTGGTTCTAGTATGTCAGCACTTGAGTGAGGATGTGTTATCTTAATATTGTTTTATTATGTTTGCATGTAGTGTTTTGTTTGTATTCTTAGAATTAAGTTATCTTTAACTATTGGTACAGTTCTTCACTATCCTCCTCAGTGTCTTTCTGCATGTCTTTTGTGATAAATCGGTAGCTTTCTACCTATCTCTGGTTCTTGTGTTTAGAAACACGTGATCAGTTTGTCTGCCATAATACAAACGATAAGGACAAATTTGAACAGTATACATTAGAAGTGGAGAGCAGCAGAAACAAAAAAATAGATATCTAGGTGTGTGTGTGTGTGTGTGTGTGTGTATATATATATATATATATATATATTTGTTTTTATTTCACCAATGAGCATAGTTGTCTTTTTTCATTTCTAAATGTGAAATAAACTCTTGCAGGGAAATGTCTGGAGGGCAAAGGAGCACACGCAGGCTTTCTGGTGAGGAGAGCGAGTGTAGTGGAGAAGTGGAATCATCCGCCATAGAAGCAGACCAGACTGCGTCAGACAACTGGTACTTGCATTGACCTATATTCCTATAAGTGTGTGTGTGTATGTGTGTGTGTGTGTAAGAATATATATTTTCTATATGTAAACATAAATTTAAGCTTGATAAAAGGGTTAGCCAAGCTCTCATGTTTTGAAGTGGTCATAGTACTTGGAGCCTGTATGTTCAGTTTGAATGCACTTTGCTGCTTTTTAACTCCACCTCCAGCAGTGTCATTAGCCAGCCATTACGTGAGGTCTGGGCTGGCTAATTTTAAATCTTTGCACTTGTCTGTCATCACAACGCATAGCATGCTGGCAACAGATAACAATGGCAACACAGATATCCTCCATGTTGCCCAGGTAATCTTTTCAACCAATCCTCCAGAACACCTTCCCCTCCACCATCAAGGAGTGATGTCACCAGAGGAGTGGATTACAGGTAGGTTTTTCTCTTATAAAGTTCCAAAAAAAATTATAGAACACTGGGCTTCAAATGCAATAGAAAGAGGGCGAATGAAAAAGTTCTTGGTGGTCTGGAACTTGGTTGTGCTATACTGTGTTGTTTTTTTGTGGTTTTTTTTTTTAAATAATGTAATAAACCATTAACATTTTTTTTTTTATTTATTGTTTTTTCCACCAGCTCTTCTAAGGACAGCCAAGAAAATTGTTGGGTTGAGACTCTACATGGTGAACTTATCCCAGAGATTGAAGTAGCAGAGGTAGCAGATCCTGATGAAGATGTCTGATTGACCTGTACAGTGCCTAGACTCATGTTAACGTTCTGCGAGTCTCCGTAATTGTTGCCATGCACTAGAGCCTTCACACAAACTCTCACTTATGCAAATACAGGAAGTTTACATGTTCAAGAAATTACAAAATGAACCCCACCCTTTGCTGCTTTAGGATAATTTTGTTGGAAATCAAATATTAAATCTGGGTGTAGGAGTCACTGATGCCAGTTGAAATCACCAAGTAAGGTCTTTAAATGAGTGGTGTAAATGGTATAGTATACATGTTTAAAGCCTATTCGATTCCATCTAAATGGAATTATTTCATGCACTTTTGACAAAGAATTTCTATGAATGACATTGTTGCCACCAGAGAATACATCATGTTGCCAAGACAGTGGTTCTCTCTTTTATACACAGAATTGCACGTTACATGCTAAAGTCTGTGCCAGTCTACTAGCATCTGTTAAGATCATTCTAACATATTCAAAACTACATGACACTCTGTGGCTAGACGTGTGTCCACAAGTGTACAACTGTCTTGCAATTTTTAATTGGGAAACTGTGCTTTTTCTACATTTCTTTGGAATATTTAGTGAATCTCTTAATATCTTCCAAACAGAATTAGTTATACCAATATACTGTCTGCAGCAGCCATAGTTAAGCTGGTGTTCTCTGAGTAAGCAAGGTTAGCAATCAACCACCCCCTGCCGTCCGGACTGAAGCAAAGCTCAGTCTGGATTGTGTATACCTCTCATTAATTCATGTTTTTAGAAATCGTTATGTATATGCATTTTCCAATATTTTAATGAATTAATGTAAGGCGACGACGTACCAAATTACAGAGTATTTATAAATGAAGTGTATGGAAATCTGTATTTGTTATTCTTTTTATATGAAGCAAGAAAACAGCCAATTATGTGTGTAAAAAAAAAAATATATATATATATAATATATTGTATACAGAATGTAAGTCACAAATGCAAATATTTGCAATAACAAATGTAGGCTAATTTTTGTGCGTGCTGGGATATATCATTTCATACAGCTAGGTGGCCTACCATTTTGAGAAAAGAAACACGTATAACTGATTATTTTTCCCCCTCCTTTGTATTCTTCATAAGAACCGTAGTAATATGCTTGACCATACTTAGCAGGTCTTTTATGGTGCGAGAGCAGTTCATTTTGGAGGGGGGGGGAGGGTTATTATAGGAAGCTTTTGATGTTGTTTTATAGGCAATAGTCTGGGTGCTCTCCTCTGAGTGAATGCAAGAGTGGTACAGCATACCTGTTTTTAAAATACTCTTTGGGTGAAGAAAAGTTTGTTTATTCAGGGTTCTTCCTACCAGAGTCTTCGAAATCTAAAGGGGTACTTAGTAAATCTGCCAAAATGATGGAACCCCTAACTGCTCTACATTTGCTCATGTAAAACATCTGCAGTGTTAAGGATTAATAGGAGAGCTGTGTATATAACAACTTCTGACGATGCACTTTTAGGGGTTAATATTTTTTTTTTTAAATGGTGGCAACAAAATGTGTATATCAATATCTGTGGGGGAAAACAATTGGATTGTCTATAATTAAAGTTTGGGGTTTTTGTTTGTTTTTTGTTAACTTTAATTAAAGATGGGAGTTTCAAACAACTTATTCCAATTAATAAACACAATTCCTGACAGGTATTTCAATACATTACCTTTCAGCAGTTGCACCTACTTGTCTAGTTAACATTTCTGACAGTTCGGCCGGATCACCTTTTTTGGAAGTATTTGTTTAACTCATAGCTGGATCTTATCAATAATGTCATAAACCCCTGTGTAACTGATTTCTGTTAGAGTGCCTAACCATCTGTGTTTTTTGGTTTTTGTTTAGTTTTTTTTTACTTTTTATTAAAGGGATTATAAAACCTTAAATTGATTCATGTCGACTTCATCTTATACCTGCATCCAAAGATAAACCAATATTTTTATGTGTATTGAAGCCTTGCATTTCAGTAATATATAAGGTATCATCTATTTATTAATTTTTTCTCTCTTCTTACCATCTTATGCCCGAATGCCTATATATAAATTATAATAGTGTGAATGACTGGGAAGATTCTATGGAAGGATTCTGATAACCTAGAGTGCTGTGCTTGGCTTTCTGTTACCAATTGCATTAGTTATACACCATTGGCAACAGGAAACAGGCTCTTGTGGAGCAAAGAAAAAATTGTAGAATTAATTAGAAATTCTTTGATGTTTAAGTAAATAAAATTTCTCTAGGGAGCAGCAGATTACAAGGAGGCAAAAAGCAGAACATTTAATTAAAATATTTGAAGTTGCAGATTGCATTTTTTTAATACATTCAAATCTAGCTTTATTTTGTTTTGTTTGTTTTTTCTAAATTTGCAAACAGATTGTATTTTGTTACATATATTTGCATGTTTGGAGTTGGTTCCTGCAACACTTTTATCCATAAAGCATTGAATTGTGACTTGAAATTGAACGGCAAAATGTAACTTTAAATGCAAATGACTTATTTCATAACAGGCTACATACATCACTATATCCGGCTTCGATCCTTATAGGCATTAGCATAACATTTTTTTCTGCACTTTATATTGTTGTGGATTTCTTGTTTGTCTTGTTTACACAATTCATTGGGTTTTTTTTTCCATGGCCATTTATCTGGTTATAGAAGGTCATAACAAATACTGTGTTTTCTAAATGCCACAAAGTATGTAAACGCACAATGTGAGTTTTCTAGTTCTCTAAATTTATATATTTAATACAAATAGCTGTAAATATTTTAAACTTTTTTTTTTTTTTGGCCTGTTGGAAGAACAAAGCATTCACATGGCAATTTTCCCTACCCACCCCAAAAAAAAACATTAATCCAACATAGGCCTTTTTATTGCCATGGTAAGTTTTTTGTAACCCTATAAAGACTTCAGCACTATATAGGCTTTGGTTGGAAATCCATGCCCAGCCAGTAAGTGAATGGCATTTCAATTTCTCCACTGGCCTTTGGCAAAGAATGATTGTTGTTCCTTCTTTTGTTTATAATCCTGCGTAATCTTATGTAAGATTATATCTCCTCGTTCATCAGTATTATGTTTAAAAAATCTATTATGAGGGACTTATTTTTTTTTACCAAGTGTTTATTTGTTCTGTAATTGCGTTATTAATAAGAAAAGAAAAGTTTTGCCTGTTCTAGTTTATTGGGAAGCAAAACCTTGGTTAGAGGGCGTGACATTTGCTATGAGCGGAATTTGACAAGTACAATAACTGGGACTAATCTCTGCAAATTAAGATAAAATCTTTAAACGGTCTAGGAGTAGAAATAAACCAGTGCTTCTCGTTCAGACTAATGCTCTGTACACTTTCAATCATGAAAAGCACGGTAGTGTAGAAAAACAATCTATCGTTTTGAGTAATCTGTGAATATGCATACAGATACAATTCACCTGTGAAATAAACCTATCTGTATGAAAATTGCCAGAATAAATTCGTATTGCTTGTGTTTTGAGTTTTTGTTGTAATTGGTAAAAAGTCTGCTACCACAATGAAACTGCTCTTCCAAATCTGTATATCAAATAGCACATAACCGCTATGTAAATATGCTTTTTAAATTTACACTTATATTTCCCAGTAAATTCAATAAGGCGTGATTGGCCAGATAGAAAAACATTATCTTCTGTTATAAAGTAGTGTGTATATAGGACATAAAGCTATTTGTGACTTGGCTACACCCCAACTTATTTGAATTGTCTGCAAAGTATACAGTATAGTACAATGGTCATTTGTACGATTGTCAGAAAGCACTCAGACTAATGTAGTGCCATAATAAGTTTGCAAAGTAGCAATGCAATGCTTAAGTTTCCATTGCATAGTCTTGAAATGCTCATAAAATGCTTGGAGCAGACAAAAATTCACATATGTGCAAATTGTAATCTTATATTACACATCTACAAAGTTGAAACAGTTGAATTTAAGCATACATTTTCTATATAAATCAAGCATCCTTAATCACAAAAGTGTTCAATCTCTTGTCTGAAGCCTTCCCCTTCTAACCCTGCCCAGACTTTCTGTTGCTGTCCAATCACAGATGTCCCAGTGCAGCTCAATGGGAAGTCTTTGCAAGGCAGGTACTCTGAGCAATAGCTGCCTTTTGAGTTTAGCTTCACTGGGCAACCAAACCAGGAAGTAATAGAGCTGGTTATCTGATTAACATCCAGTGTGGTATAACAAGTTTAATTTATACATGTCTTAATAGAAACCTTAAGTTCTACCCTGAATGCCCACACAATGTGAAAGTTTAAAGACATATCACCAAATTTCTTGGACAGCTCTTTTCATGAGATACTGGTCAAAATATGGTGATATGCCTTTAAACTTTTTCAGATTGCAAAATGAAGTCTATTTAAAACCACTTTACTATAGCGTTTCAACAATTGTAAAACCAGCTGCTCCACTTAGGTTAAAATACATTTGTTTAAAATGCTAGAAACACTAACCTTATAGTAAAGTTGTTTTAAATGGACTTCATTATGGAAATAGAAGAGACTTTGAATTTAGTAGCTGAATATTAAGAGAGGATCCACTACATTGTTTTATTTGATATATTGCCAAGTCTAAAGTCATCCTAAAAAGAAAAAGCACCATTAATGAAATGTGAAATTAATAGAGGTAGTGCATTAGGGCTGACATCGCTGGAGGAAGCCATTGATTGGTGAAACAGGTTACGATGGCAGCAAGGTGCTACATGGGGGGCTGGGGAGATCTGAGAGGGAACCAACTTTCTATTACACATGCTGCTAGTGCGATCTGTTGGAAACGGTTACCTGACCATAATATCTAGTAAGCTGCTACTTTCCTGTCTTTAGTATCTTGCAAGCTTTAATAAATCATTCTTCTATACCTATTTGTATTTTGAGTTGTATTGAAGCCAAATAGGGAACGTGTCACCCCTATATACAGACACACTGCCATTAAGTTGTATGCTTCCACTAATTGGGAGTTTAATTCCAGCACTTTATGTACATATAGATTATATCTGAAGATTATCCATTCTAGATGATGGCTTGCATGTATGTTTTTGTTTTGCATGTTTAGGCCATCCACGAGAGGAAACCTTAAAAAAAACCTTTAAAAAAAAATAAAAAATAACGAAAGGTGGACACGATTGTGGCTGACTCTGTATTATTCTCTTCGGTTGCCCGTACCTATCTCCATATTTCCCGAACATATTCGTACCCCCTGTTTGTGGTCGAAAGGAACATGTATGGTCCCCCTTGTGTACCTTCCAGAACTTTGACCACCCCTGGCTGTTAACCACAATTAAGTGAATGACTCGAGTGCTTTCCCTGGGTGGCCAGTGAATGGCTATTTTGTCTCCCGAACACAGGCAGCGAACTTGGTCGTCGACTGCATGGAACTCCTTTCGGCTACACGATCCCATGAATCTGGGCAAAGATCATTCCGCTGCCACTTCCCAACCAACTAGACGGACAACATTCGGGAGATAGGAACTACTGAACAAGGGAAGCATTTGCTTCCTAAAATCCAGGGGGAGTGTTCGTCAGTGTTCGCACATGAACTCCAAAAGCAGACCAGTCGTTGCCCTAGTTTCTCTGGAACTATTTTGGGTCAACACCTCGTGGTCGTCCAGTCAGAACTCTACTCGAATAGCAATTCCCATTCTACCGGATGGATCTGAGCACTTTTTGGATATGTTGGGTGCTCAGACAGTGGCTATTCGGGTATGTAAGATTATGGTTCCTGTGGAAATAACTGTTTGTTTTGGGGGTATGTCATGTATTTTTCATGGCTTCGTGTACCTGAGAGATAGTTATCCAGTTTTACTACAATAAATGTGTTTAGAAAGCAGTCTGTTCCATAAGATACATTGTTCGTATCTAATTACATTTTAGTTGCATAAAATATTTTTAGTAAGTCACGTAAAATTTTTCATAACAGTCACACCTTTCCTAACATCACTAGAATGAAAGTGTCCCTCTATCCAACTGGGAAAGTCTTCATAAGGACTACAGCTCCCAGGACTATGTGTCATCCAATCCCTCGGAGTGAATAGAGCTAGTCCCCTATCCTGTTCCAGGACGGAAAGGTTCTAGGAGGACCCTAGTCAGAGTACGGCGACTGGGGCAGAAGCGCTGAGGATTTCCCCGGTTCCAGCTAGGAAGCGATCCTTGGCAGAGGTTTCCAGCCAGGGTACAGGGAGCTCCGCTACAACAATTTAAAGAAACAGGTAGTAATGGGTTTGGGGGGCTTTTTCTGTATAAGCTCCTCTTGCCTTGTGAGTAGGACAATTTCCTTAATTTCATTTGCCATATTACCCTATATTTTTTTATCACTTTATTTTTTTTACATGTGAATTCAGAGGGGAAAAAAAATAAAGAAGCATACACTGATAAAAATGGAATATAAACATTATTTTTCACTAAATAAAAGCTTCACTTTACTCACAATGTTCATTCCAATACACCAAAACCCTCACCTGCCTGAAAACCAACCCAAAGAGACAAAAATGTACATTGCAGTTCAGTTAGGACGGGAAGAAGAGATAGCAAGGGCTCACATTCATTTATGATATTCACATTCTGCTGGTATTTTGAGAATGTGCATATCTAGCAGATTAATATAAATTACCCTTGGAAGAGCTATATTTGCACTTATTTGTTTGTTCTCTAATATTTTTAAATTAATATTGTTTCCTGAACTGGTGGGGAATATTTGAAGTCTTGGGGCATGTAATATAGTTTCATACTTTACAGCTTCCGTATTTATGTATCACAAATAATTCATAAAATTAATCTGTACTAAGTAATTTTCACCACACCTTACTCCTAAGTGTGTACCATATCCCTCTGTCCCACTGTCCCTGTTTTCTAGAAGTTCCATATTTTTGGTGTTTCTGAGTATAAGTTTCACAGCAATACTACTCTCCGTAATATGTCTTTAAACTACAATAAATGTGTTAAGAAAGCAGTCTGTTCGCTAAGATACATTGTTTGTATCTAAATTACATTTTAGTTGCATAAAATATTTTTAGTAAGTCACCTAAAATTTTTCAGAACAGTCCCACCTCTGGTCACACCTTTTCTAACATCACTAGAATTAAAGCGTCCCTCTATCCATTTTAAGTTTTGAAAGGTATGTCACACCTCAGTTGTAAAACCATATTTGATGTACTTTTCTCATATAAAAAAAAAAAAACAGCTTTACTGGAATACAAACTGCATTGTTTTGTTTCCCTTTTAGACCTTTCTGATTCACCAGTGGTAGCTGGTACAGGTTTGTGTAAGTTGTGTCTCTGGAGACATGCAGTGTTTTAGCAGATATATGGATATTTATCCAGATTTAGTAGAACTCTCATCAACCTACCATTCACTGTATATGTTAAACTGTGCACCCTGGTGAAAAGTGATGCTGGTGTAAAACAATATTATTGTCCTGTATTCATAAGTACTGTATATGTTAATGTCATCTCTTGTGTGTGTATTATTGGTGTTGTGTGTTTTAAATTATGTTTTTCCCATTTTGAAAATCTATTAATAAGCAGCTGAATACCAATTATAAATATATATCTGTTATTTCATCATAACAATAAAGGTTCCGCTGCACCTTTTTTCCTACTACTTTAATGCAAAAGTGAAAAACTTGCATGTAATCTAGGGGCCATTTTTTCCTAGCAAGGAACAGATAGCCTACATTGGTTGGTGATTGTCAGTGTGTAACACACACTGAGTTACTTCTTTATATATGGAGGTGGGGGTGACTGGGTGTAACAAATCACTTAATGCAGTAGCAAATTCATTTTTACCCAATACTCGCGTCACTCACATAGGTTAAGGTGAGGGCACATATGTGAGTACAATACTTTGTAAGTAATGCCTGAGCATTCTACCCTTCACTTAGAATGAAGGGCTGCAGGGCATGCCTGGCACCATAACTACTAATGCACTTTGTAGTGGTTATGGTGCTTTTGCTTTTTCCTTTAATAGTTTTTCCTTTTACAATGTAAGGGCTCTCCCGAGATGGCACTCCGTTATCCTGCCTTTGCGGACACCACACATAAGCCACCAAAAGTGAGAGAAGCATCATAAATAATTCAGGATGTTTTGTTTGTATGAGAAAAAAATGCAATTGAGCAGCTGGGGGAAGTGAATGTCAAGCATACAACTCTGCTGCGCCCATGTGCATCATTCTGACAAAGAATCCTTCGA